CGTAGTGTCCAGAGCATGGAGGCGCTACCAGGAGACAGGCCAGTACATCAGGAGACGTGGAGGAGGCCGTAGGAGGGCAACAACCCAGCAGCAGGACCGCTACCTCCGCCTTTGTGCAAGGAGGAGCAGGAGGAGCACTGCCAGAGCCCTGCAAAATGACCTCCAGCAGGCCACAAATGTGCATGTGTCTGCTCAAACGGTCAGAAACAGACTCTATGAGGGTGGTATGAGGGCCCGACGTCCACAGGTGGGGGTTGTGCTTACAGCCCAACACCGTGCAGGACGTTTGGCATTTGCCAGAGAACACCAAGATTGGCAAATTCGCCACTGGCGCCCTGTGCTCTTCACAGATGAAAGCAGGTTCACACTGAGCACGTGACAGACGTGACAGAGTCTGGAGACGCCGTGGAGAACGTTCTGCTGCCTGCAACATCCTCCAGCATGACCGGTTTGGCGGTGGGTCAGTCATGGTGTGGGGTGGCATTTCTTTGGGGGGCCGCACAGCCCTCCATGTGCTCGCCAGAGGTAGCCTGACTGCCATTAGGTACCGAGATGAGATCCTCAGACCCCTTGTGAGAACATATGCTGGTGCGGTTGGCCCTGGGTTCCTCCTAATGCAAGACAATGCTAGACCTCATGTGGCTGGAGTGTGTCAGCAGTTCCTGCAAGAGGAAGGCATTGATGCTATGGACTGGCCCGCCCGTTCCCCAGACCTGAATCCAATTGAGCACATCTGGGACATCATGTCTCGCTCCATCCACCAACGCCACGTTACACCACAGACTGTCCAGGAGTTGGCGGATGCTTTAGTCCAGGTCTGGGAGGAGATCCCTCAGGAGACCATCCACCACCTCATCAGGAGCATGCCCAGGCGTTGTAGGGAGGTCATACAGGCACGTGGAGGCCACACACACTACTGAGCCTCATTTTGACTTGTTTTAAGGACATTACATCAAAGTTGGATCAGCCTGTAGTGTGGTTTTCCACTTTAATTTTGAGGGTGACTCCAAATCCAGACCTCCATGGGTTGATAAAATTGATTTCCATTGATAATTGCTGTGTGATTTTGTTGTCAGCACATTCAACTATGTAAAGAAAAAAGTATTTAATAAGATTATTTCATTCATTCAGATCTAGGATGTGTTGTTTAAGTGTTCCCTTTATTTTTTTGAGCAGTGTATATTATGTAATGTTATGTAGTTCTGTCCTTCAGCTGTAATTGACCATTAATGTTATGTATTATGTCATGTTATGTAGTTCTGTCGTTCAGCTGTAATTGACCATTAATGTTATGTATTATGTCATGTTATGTAGTTCTGTCCTTCAGCTGTAATTGACTATTAATGTTATGTATTATGTCATGTTTTATGTTTTGTGTGGACCCCAGGAAGAGTGGCTTTGGCTGTAGCTAATGGGGATCCTAATGAAATACTAAATACTCCAGTCAACACCAGTGGAGGCTGCTGAGGGGAGAACGGCTCATAATAATGGCCGGAACGGAGCAAATGGAATGGCATCAAACACCTGGAAACCATGGAAACCATGTGTTTGATGTATTTGATACCATTACACTTATTCTGCTCCAGTCATTACCACAAGTCCGTCCTCCCCAATTAAGGTGCCACCAACCTCCTGTGGGCAACACGTCTCAGTGTGTGTCCCAAATGTCACCCTATTCCCTACAGTGAGGGAAAAAAGTATTTGATCCCCTGCTGATTTTGTACGTTTGCCCACTGACAAAGAAATTATCAGTCTATAATTTTAATGGTAGGTTTATTTGAACAGTGAGAGACAGAATAACAACAAAAAAATCCAGAAAGACACATGTCAAAAATGTTATAAATTGATTTGCATTTTAATGAGGGAAATAAGTATTTGACCCCTCTGCAAAACATGACTTAGTACTTGGTGGTAAAACCCTTGTTGGCAACCAGGTTTGCACATATCTCAGGAGGGATTTTGTCCCACTCCTCTTTGCAGATCTTCTCTAAGTCATTAAGGTTTCGAGACTGACGTTTGGCAACTCAAACCTTCAGCTCCCTCCACAGATTTTCTATGGGATTAAGGTCTGGAGACTGGCTAGGCCACTCCAGGACCTTAATGTGCTTCTTCTTGAGCCACTCCTTTGTTGCCTTGGCCGTGTGTTTTGGGTCATTGTCATGCTGGAATACCCAATCACGACCCATTTTCAATGCCCTGGCTGAGGGAAGGAGGTTCTCACCCAAGATTTGACGGTACAAGGCCCCATCCATCGTCCCTTTGATGCGATGAAGTTGTCCTGTCCCCTTAGCAGAAAAACACCCCCAAAGCATAATGTTTCCACCTCCATGTTTGACGGTGGGAATGGTGTTCTTGGGGTCATAGGCAGCATTCCTCCTCCTCCAAACACAGCGAGTTGAGTTGATGCCAAAGAGCTCCATTTTGGTCTCATCTGACCACAACACTTTCACCCAGTTCTCCTCTGAATCATTCAGATGTTCATTGGCGAACTTCAGACGGGCATGTATATGTGCTGCAGGATTTCAGTCCTTCACGGCGTAGTGTGTTACCAATTGTTTTCTTGGTGACTATGGTCCCAGCTGCCTTGAGATCATTGACAAGATCATCCCGTGTAGTTCTGGGCTGATTCTTCACCGTTCTCATGATCATTGCAACTCCACGAGGTGAGATCTTGCATGGAGCCCCAGGCCGAGGGAGATTGACAGTTCTGTTGTCACCTTCTCACCAAGCTGCTTGGCGATGGTCTTGTAGCCTATTCCAGCCTTGTGTATGTCTACAGTCTTGTCCCTGACATCCTTGGAGAGCTCTTTGGTCTTGGCCATGGTGGAGAGTTTGGAATCTGATTGATTGATTGCTTCTGTGGACAGGTGTCTTTTATACAGGTAACAAACTGAGATTAGGAGCACTCCCTTTAAGAGTGTGCTCCTAATCTCAGCTCATTGCCTGTATAAAAGACACCTGGGAGCCAGAAATCTTTCTGATTGAGAGGGGGTCAATACTGATTTCCCTCATTAAAATGCAAATCAATTTATAACATTTTTGACATGCGTTTTTCTGGATTTTTGTTGTTGTTATTCTGTCTCTCACTGTTCAAATAAACCTACCATTAAAATTATAGACTGATCATTTCTTTGTCAGTGGGCAAACGTACAAAATCAGCAGGGGATCAAATACCTTTTTCCCTCACTGTATATGGTGCACTGCTTTGGGCCATGGTCAAAAGTAGTGCACTATAAAGAAATTAGGGTACAATTTGGGACACATCCTCTGAGTCTAGGTTAAAAAAGTTTGAACAACACTGCTAATCTTCGCCAGGCCAGGCAGGTCTAGTGTAGTCTAGGTCTGGTAGCTGTTGTATATTTGCCTTGTTCAAATCAATCTGAATTGTTTTTCTTTGTCGTTCCAGGCGTAGGGACCCTCCAGAGGACCTCCAGCCAGCGCAGTGCCATGACGTACCAAAGAAACAATTACACTCTGAACACGGCAGCCACGTACGCCGAGCCCTACCGCCCTGCCCAATACCGGCCCTCCGAGGGCAACTACGCCCGGCAGCCAGTCGTCATGGACGACGGGACCACCCGCTCACCCTCCATAGACAGCATCCAGAAGGACCCAAAGTAAGCAGGCAAATAGGCACTAGGGTCATATTCATTAGTGCACAACGTAGCAAAACGTTTTACAACAAAAAACTTTTTTTATTGGACGAATCCCAGTAGATCCCTCCCCGTTTCGGCCCATTTGCTTCCGTTTGGTACCTACTGAATATGACCCACTGGGACTAACAGTGCTTCTAACAGTGCTTACTGGGCTCCTATATAGTGCTGGGTCAACATTAGTGTCCTCTTACTATTCAAACGCAAAGCCCCCCTGGGCAGGCATCCAGAGCCTTAGCCATTAAGCTACACGGCTACACGGACCACTTTACAATGGATCCTCAGATTCAGTGAACTGCTGTGTCTGCTCTTGCTACAGGGGCATGTGTACTATGTGAGCCAGGGTTTTTGGACCTGGAGCGCTAAACCCCTGACCTTGCACATTGGGAGTGCTGTTCACACCACTGTGTGTTGCTCTAGCTGAGAGTAGTAAGAAAGGGTGACAGGGGGCCTCCCTGCTCTGCTCTACACTGCAGACTGCGGTCAGACCGAGGGGCGTCCCAAATGACACCCTATTCTCTATAGTGCACTGTAAAGGGAATATGGTGCCATTTGGGACGTATTCCGAGGCAGGGCTAAAAGCATCTGAGAGAAACATGTTGTTGCATCAACTGGGTCCCTACTCCGTACCAGGGGAAATGTAGCAGTGGTGTTGGTATCGGCTGTTTGTGCCCCCAGGGTAATTTAGATGAAAATAGTATTTGATTTGATTGGACTTGTGTCTTGCTTCATGTAGCACACACTGAGGCAAGGAGCATTACAGCCTGCAACTCGCACATCAATACAGCCAATTCTATCACAATGAGGACGTGGTGTACCTCACGTTGCTACTTTCTCACTTCGATGTCTTTAGTTTACTCCGTTTGTCAGAAGGTCAAAGTCAAACACAAGTTCTGAAATAGACGCAGACTTTGTAATCTATGCTTTTCTCTTGTCATAAGGTTTATGAATTCTAGTAGAAAAGTTTAATTCTAGTAGACATCATTTATATGGGCCTTGCAGATTAAATGAATGAAGCTTTATGAACTGGGAGAAGCTCATGGCAGTGATTGTCCAAAAGGCAAGACATACCTTTTAGAGTCTTCCAAATGAAACTCTCCCCAGTGAAGTATCCTCCTTTATATTGGGAGAAAAGCAATCATCCTGGAGTGTAATAGATGCTGATGTCAATGTAATTTCCTGGCCTATAAACTTATTGCAGTGTGCCCCAGCCCTGTGGTAAGGGAGGAATAGTTGTTGCGTGCTGTCATCATACTGATACGTGCCTGTGTGTGTGTGTGTTTCCCTCTGTCTCTCTGTCTGTGTGTTTGTGTGTCTGAAATCTCTCTTTCCGTGTCTGTGATCCAGGGAGTTTGCATGGCGTGACCCTGAGCTGCCTGAGGTGATTCATATGCTGCAGCACCAGTTCCCCTCGGTGCAGGCCAACGCCGCCGCATACCTGCAGCACCTGTGCTTTGGAGATAATAGAGTCAAGGCTGCGGTACGTACTCACTGCTCAATCTTCTTCCCTGCTTCACATATCCTTCATCAGTACCCAGATTGCAGTTCGCTGTGACGTGCCTCCCATCCCAAAGGGGGTGAATCTAAACGGAAATTTCTTCATTCCTCACATCCTCTCTCCTCATCTTCATCTCAAAGCACAAAGGAGGTTTATTTCGGATCTTCTCTGATGCGTTATAAGGAGGAGGCAAGCAGAGCGGATGCGAGGAATCGAGGAAATACAATTGAGATTCCCCTAGGGTGTGAGAGGACTGAGCTGCAGCAGAGGCTCTCTCTCTCTCTCTCTTTCCTCTCTCTCTCTCTCTCTCCTCTCTCTCTCTCTCCTCTCTCTCTCTCTCCTCTCTCTCTCTCCTCCTCTCTCTCTCTCTCTCTCTCTCTCTCTCTCTCTCTCTCTCTCTCTCTCTCTCTCCCCTGACTAGGGTGGGTTGGGCTGACCACTCCATTCCACTCCAGCTCCCTCTGGAATTTCACGGCTCAACTGGGTGCTGGTACTCTTAGAATCAGCAGGGGCTTCACAGCACTTAACCTATACTGAGACACACACACACTTAACTGAGATGGTAGCGGGGTGAACAGGCCGTGGCTCCACTTCTGGTCCCCACAAGGATAGTAAAACCAAAAACCCACAGCCACACACACGCATGCGCACACACAAAGAAGATACATTGTTTTTTATAAACACAAACACACGGTCTCTTCTGTCAGTCAGTCTGTCTGTCTCTCACTCTTTCTCTCTCTCGCTCTTTGTCACACACTCATACATTACGAAGACACACATTTCAAGGAAAGAACATTGAGTCTTTTCTAGGTTTTGATAAAAGGCAACTGTCGGCTCTGTAGATATGTTGTTATTTTTTTTCCCTCGGGTGCAAAAAGTCAACTATTGAAATCTAGTCATACGTGGAAAGTGGCATAAGAATGCTATTGTTTGCGTAATCTCTTTAAATTACTGCAACACTTTGTATTATGAGTTTCACACCTTGTATCCACCCTATAGTTTAGGCATTCTATGTGAACACTAAAGATTTGCATGACATTTTCCATATTTCTTTCATCTGGCATGAAGAAAGCTATTGGTATACATTCTCTCAGCATCCCGGCTTAGCTACATGAATAAATGCAAAGCCTAGATTGTGTAATGGAGACCATCATGTTATCTTATAACAGGCTGTGATGTCACAATATCCATCCACCTTAAAATACTCCCCCTGTTTATTGTTTATCAATTCTCTGTGGTATTTTGCTGTAGAAACCAATGAATTTGTGTTCAGGGCCTTCTTAATAACACTGTATAACCCCATCTCTGTAGGTGTGCCGTCTAGGGGGCATCAAGCACTTGGTGGACCTATTAGACCACAAAACCCTGGAGGTCCAGAGGAACGCCTGTGGAGCTCTGAGGAACCTGGTCTACGGGAAAGCCATGGACGACAACAAGGTTGCCGTGAGAAACGCAGGTGGCGTCCCCGCTCTGCTCAGACTGCTGAGGAAGACTGTGGACGCTGAAGTGAGGGAGCTGGTCACGGGTAAGTGAGAGTGTGTGTGAGTGTTATGTGTGTGTGTGTGTGCTTGCAAGTGCATTGTGAATTCACTCAGTGTGTGTGTTTGGTGCGCGTGTGTATGAGCGTGTGTGCATGCATAGTAAATTCGCTCTGTGTGTAATTGCGCTTGCATATATGTGTGTCTCTTTGCTTCTCTGGGTGAGAAAGCAGTGTTCATTTCAAATTGCCTCTTTAACCATGAACCTCCACGGACCGTGCCTTTCCACACCACAGCTCTGTGTGCTATTCCCTCGCTCTGCCATCTGGCATATTCACAAAAGTCCCATTTCCACAGTTACATGTTATTTCACTCATTCATTATTTAGTGACGTTTGCCCGAATCAGATCCACTGGAGTTCCACTACAGGGTTTTTGTGGGACAGGAACATTACTACACAACCTGAAGTAGAGCTGTTCAATTATTAACCTTCTCTCCTGCCTGCCTGCCAGTCCTCCGCTTTACCAGTCAATTGGCATGAGTCACTGCCTGTGTCCCATATGGCACCCTATTCCCTATATAGTGCACTACTGCTGACCAGCCCTGGTGAAAAGTAGTGCACTATAAAGGGAAAAGCCACTGTGTATGCTAGTCTGGTCTTGACCAGTTCTCCACGAGTCGCTGTCATTCATATTAGGGGGTTGGAGTTCCTCACTACCCTCTCCTGGGTCGTGTTTAGTAGACACGAAATGGGAGATAACACTTTAAAACAGAGGAGGGTACTGCCTGAACTTTCCAATGAGAACACTCATTTGATCATAATGTAGGCCTACCAGAGTGGCCTACCATCAAAAACAATAGAGAAGATGCATCCCATAACATTTTAACATGTAAATAACTGTTCTATCATTCAGCCTACAATAGAAGTGAATGTGTGGTGTTCAATGTAGGCCTACATTCCATGACTTTAAAAAAAAACATGCAGGGCTTGAAATTAACCTGTTTATCCACTTGTCCTTCAGACAAGGAGGGGACTGAAAATGGTGTTGTGTTTGATGCAAGAAACCACTTTACAAAATTAAATGCATTATTATTCCCATACCATTATTACAGAGAATCAGACAAATTATGCTACCCTCTGCCTATTGGCTACTTAGCTTATTCAAGCCTTTCTCAAAATACAACACTGCTGCCTTTAAGACAAAAAAAAGCTCTTTACCTGACTCGCTTTTCAAAGATGTCTAGAAATGTACACATTTTCTGTTCTTGTAGGAAGCAATCACTCCCCCATTGCTGACTACAAATTATCCATAACTGGGCTAATAACTCACTAACTAGCAAAGGATATGAACAAATGTGCACGTGGCTACATGGAGCTCTCACTTTGACCTTGAAACAAGCACATCTACTCACAACCCTCGTACTGTGTAGAGTAGGCTGAGTCGTGCGTGTCAATGCAATAGAATCTTACTCCGATGCATTCTGCCTACAACAGAATCTCTTGCATAGTTAGTTTTGCATACTAAGTCTTGCATAGTTCGTTGTGTTTCGGTATGCTGGATTGAAAGTGCTAATATTGCATTGATTTGATCACATTTCCCACAATAAAGGGAAACGTTGATAGTGTTAACTAAGGGGGAAAGTTACATGAAGTTCAATCTTGTGCTTCTCTGCGCGGACTGATATTTCTCCTGTGTGGCAGTCCCAGGGAGGGAACATTGGTCTCATGTGTCAATCAAGTTGGTGTTTGTTTAATTCTTCTCCAAGGAAAAGGAAGAGACAGTTCTTCTTAGTGTCTCCTAAGCACAGACAGGGTGAATTACGGAACTAACCCATCAGAACCACATGCAGCCCATAACAGAATGGATTATGAGGGATGGAACCACTGGCATTTCAGTCACTTCTAGCCAGTCTTTTCCATTGGCATTCAAATGAGAGGCCAATTCAAGGCAGACGTGTGTCACACAAATCTTGGACTAAATTGCTTTCACCTGTCGTGAGCACGCTTTACGACTGCGTGTATTGAAAAGCATCGGCCGCATGTTTAATTGGTAGTTGAAGACCCAGAATGCTTAGCAATTAGAGAAGGTCATCGATCACAGCGTCACCTCTGGATAATCACAACCAATCAGATTAATCCACAGTTCCCTACCTGCTGGCCAAAGCCAATGGGCTAATTGGAACTGACAAGACTTACTCTCCAATTACCCTCCAACATATTTCTACCCTTGAAAACATGGTTGGCGGTTTTGTTGTTGGTTTGGTGTTGTATTGTATAATTGAACATTTGTTTTGAAGCGCCTATGCATGTATGTCTGCGTCTCAAATGGCACCCTATTCCCTACATGGTGCACTACTTTTGACCAGAGCTCTGTTATTATTCCAGTGGGAGGGATCATCAGCCATGCTCCATGTGAGCCACTAATGGAGGAGGAGGAGCTGCCTCTCCTCTCTTCTCTAATCAGGTCAGGGGGTCATGTTGTGGGGACATGTCAAGCAATCTAGGCCTGGTCCCTGGCTCCCACAGCAGCTGTTGTGGTTATGGCCTGTCCTCACAAGGCTTCTGAGATCAAAGTGCCAGGCCTCCTTTGGCTGTTGTCACCCCAGTGGCAGTACAGGTGTCACCTGGCCCCTACGGCGGGAGAAGCATCTGGACATACAAACAGCCTGGGCCTTGCTGCTCTGAGCAGCACACAGGGGCCCTGTCCTACAAAGCACTGTCTGTCCGCATGTGACCCGCTGTCACAATTGCAACCACCCACCAACACACAACCAGGGAAGGAACAAAATGACATTACATGACATTATATTACATTAGTTTGTATGTGTGTGGGGGTGGGGTGGGTGGGTGGATGGGATCATTGCTTCTGTCCCTATGTAGCTTCCCTTGAATAGAAGTGCCTATGTTTAGATGTCAAGGCAGGTACAGGGCTAACCTTGGGCCTTGTGTTGTGTGTTTTTCCAGACAGCTGTAGGGAAATCAGCCCCACGGCACTCATCTCTAATCAGCGTTCCTTTGAAATTGAACAGAACTCATCGAGCGAGACACACTGGAGCTGCTGCAAAGCTTCCATTTCCTCAGATGTAGGGCAGAGTACAGATTGTCATCTTGCTCAACCTGCAGCCACTATAGAAATGTATTGAGACTTCAGGCACATGGTTATACTGTAGTCAGCCACACCCTACAGACTGGGGAAAACGAAACTATTTTGTATTATCCACTAGTCTACACAGAGCTCTCCGCTCTGCCCCCACTGGCCCAGGGCTGAATAACAGTGTCAAAGCTAGTCTTGATTTTTAATGATGCGTGTTCAAGCAAGCCCTCGGCTTTGAGCGGACACAAGACTGTCCAGGACTGCGTCCCAAATGGCAGTGGCACCCTATTTCCTATAGCCTCTGGTCAAAAGTAGTGCACTACATAGGGAATAGGGTGCTTTTTGGGTCTAGTATTGCAATGGATCTACATGCTCATCACAACTCTATAGCAAAGCACATGCAAACTCACGCCCCTCTAACTCTCTCACTCTCAGAGTCAACTAATGCCTGACCTACACCCATTAATCTACCCAATCAGAGCCTGTTCATACTCGACCACACCCTTACTCTGGCCAATCAGAAGTGGCTAAACACCTGACCCACTAGCTCAGGGTACTGTAAGGGCTATCCTGGCTTCAGCACCTAATTCCTGCAGACAGTAACTGAATAACAAGCTCAGTGGAGATTTCATTATGGGGCGGAATGGAGCCCTTTAGCCAGATCACTGCTTCCCAAGCTATGAGAGACACACACACTACCCTCCCCATCGCTCGCTCGCGCTCTCATAAACAAGTCCACATACACACTCTCTCTTTCTTTTCACACACACACTCCCTAAATTTATCAAATGACCTGTCTTTCGAGGAATGATTCGAAGACGGATGAATGGCTCCTGTGTCACAGCGTATCACAGTTTATTGCATTTACATTTTAGTCATTTAGCAGACGCTCTTATCCAGAGTGACTTCCAGTTAGTGAGTGCATGCATTTTTTCATACTGGCCCCCCGTGGGAATCGAACCCACAGCCCTTGCGTTGCAAGCGCCATGCTCTACCAACTGAGCTATACGGGACCTCTCCAGCTCGGGCATTAGTTTACATTGGGGCTAGTGTTCCCGCACCTAGCCACACACACACACATAAACAAACACACAAAGTACAGTATATAGGACTGAGCCAAGATCTGAGAGATCAAGCCTCATTCACACAGGCTGTTCCCTCTGACTGTCAAATGTGACACATAGGTATTGCCTGACTTTATAGAGACCCCTGTCAGTCACACCTCACTGGGCTCAGCTGCAGATTATCCCAAATCAAAAAGACTGCGGCAGCCAGGCGGCTTCCACAGGGCCAGTTTAAAGGCTGGTGGTTAGCGGCTTCTTCAAATAGAGCTATAGGGGCGATGAGGAGGAACTTGGGTGTTGATGGCTAGCGGGACAGACCTGGGTCATTTCAGTTTGCCTGAGTGCTAGACCAACACTGTGTGTGTGCTTGTGTTATCACTACATTACAATGCACTCTGTCTGAGGGAATTCACTAAACAGCCATCGGAGAAAGCCAAGGCAAACAAAGCTATAGGCTAAGCTAGTAGAGAAAGGCACTCAATCACTGCAGAGATTTTGGCTAAGGTGTATGTTAACTTCCGACTTCAACTGTATATTTGCAAAAAATATATATGGGGGACTGGAAGTGATGCAGACAATTACATTGATGGAAGCTACAATCTATCTGCAATATTAAAGCTGATCTACCCCCTAAAAAAATATGCCTATCAGAAGCTTCTAAAGCCATGACATCATTTTCTGGAATTTTTCAAGCTGTTTAAAGGCACAGTCAACTTAGTGTATGACCCACTGGAATTGTGATACAATGAATTATAAGTGAAATGATCTGTCTGTAAACAATTGTTGGAAAAATTACTTGTGTCATGCACAAAGTA